CTCCCCGCCAGTGCTGTCCCGGGCTGCCCCGGCTGCCAGCACTGGGCTGGCCCAGGGGAGGCTGCTCCACCCGTTGGCTTTGCCCCTCACCGGGCTCCTGGACGGTGGCAGGGCTGCCCGGGCTCCCTTCCTTCCAGGCTGCCTCATGCTGCCCCTTGGGCTGGGCAGTGCCCAGGGAACACGGCTGGTCCCGCTCCGGCTCCTCGCCACCATCTTTGGGCTCCGGACTGGGCTCCGGGGCTGGCTGCAACTCCAGGAGCACGAGGGTCCCCGAGACCATGGCTGCAGGAGAGAGAAGAGGCTCTGCATGGGGGAAATTTGCTCCTGCGGCCCCACCAGGTGCCCGGCTCCCCTGTCCACACCTTTGGGAGATACCGTGCTGCCCTCTCCATCCTCCCGCCCCTGCCTACAGCTGGCCCTGGTGCTGCTCCAGCCCCGGGCACACACCCAGGCAGGGCTTTGCCACCACCATTCGTGGGGACTCACCCTGGGTGCTGGGTTTCTGGCGTTCTCCCGTCTGCTGGCTGCGTAGCTCCTGCATCCCACCTGGGACGTGCTCCTGCTCCACTGCGTCGTCTTGCTCATGGGCCTGGGGAGAGCAGGGGGTGAGAGCAGGGCCATCCCCGCTCCGGTGTCTGACCAGGTCCCCCTGTCCCATCCCTGCCACCTGGCCAGGGACATGCTGCAGGCTGTGGCCTCTTCCCATGCCACCCAGGTCCCTGCCTACACGCTGCTGGGGATGGACAAGCCACCCCCTGCACAGGGGTCACTGCAGGAAGCTGGTAGGGGGACAAGTGTTTCCACACCTCACTGCCTCCACCAGGCAGGGAGGGGGACACCGTGTCTACTGAAGGGGGGGCCCAAACCCTGTGTACTCCTGGGGCTCCCAGCACTCCTCTGTATGGTGCTGATAAGCACCAGGGCACAGAGCAATGACCTGGCTCTTGGGTCCCCATCCCCCTGTGGCCTCTGCCACGAGTACACCAGCCTTGTCCAACATCGATGCGTACACCAGCCTTGTCCAACATGGATGCCAGGAGGTGGGAGGAGAGGACAGACCCTGCTCAGTGCCTCTGTCCCCTCTTGCCCCTCAGCCCAGGCACCTCAGGGCTCCGTGAGGCAGGGAGCACTCAGTTTTGCATCACCCTGTCCCTGCCCACGGCACCGGCAGCTCTGCTTGGCAAACAACGGGATGCTCTGGGCACAGGACCACATGTTCACATCAAAGTGGCAAGGACACGCAGGTGACAGGTGCGTCCCTGACACACGCCTGAGCAGGGTCAGGGTGTCCTGGTGTCACCAGCCAGGGCACAGGGTGCCAGTCCTGGCTGTGCCAACGCCTCTAGGAGCACTGCGGGCTGGTGCTGACATGACTCAAAGGCGGGGGCAGGTGGAGAGGGGCCCATACCCCGAGGGGACACAGGGGAACCAGGACCCAAACCCAGGCGCCGCTGCAGCTGCCGTTTAAGGGAAATGGCCTGAGGTTTGGAGTGATCGGCCAGACAGAGTGGGACAGCCCTGCCGGCTGCTTGGGAGATGTCCCAGCGTGGCCAGGACCAGGGGCAGCATGCCAGCACGTCCGGACGGGGAAGGCAGACATGCTGAAAGGTGGCACAGGGCCATGTCCTCCAACCCAGCCTCTTCCCACAGCCCCGGGGCAGGCAGAGGGGGAAGCTGGGCTGGGCTGAACAGAGGCAGATACAGTGATCCAAGCCTTCCCACTCAGCTGTGGTTATAACCACCCTTTGTCCCTTCCCCACCCTCTCCAGCAAAGGGCATCTCCACATGGTGTCTCTGCAGGGACCTCCTACCGCCATGAGAGCCATAGTCCCCTGTGGGGTCACCGCCGCTGGGCAGGAAACCCAGGCTTGCGCCTGTTCCTTCCAGCCCTGCCCACCAGCTCATCCTTCCCCCAGCCAGACAGTCCCCACCGTGGCTAGTGGGCACCAGCCACTCTCCAGAGTGAGCCCCGGCCCCTCGAGGGCCAGCAGGAACGACCAGCATGGGGAGGGGGACGAGGGGATCAAGGTTTCTGCCTGTGCAAGGAGACTGATGCAGGCAGCTACCGCAGGCAGGACGAGCAGCCATCACCTCCAAAGAGCGCCCTCCCTGCAGGGCCGCAGCAGGGAGGGGTGCACCAAGTGCACTGAGGGGCCCCACAGACCCCTCGCCCGCAGCACTCACACCTAGGCTGCGTCCTCAGGGAGAAGCCATGGGGCACCCAGGCCTGAGCCTCCAGCCCCAGCTCACCACTGCTGGGGCCACACTGGCACAGCCCAGCCGCATCCCCCATGTCTCCAGAGACCCCAGCTCCACCTGCCCTGGTCCCCTTGGGTGGGCGAGCCCAGTGTGCCCGGGGGTTTGTGCCCCAGGCAGGCTGGCACAGGAGCCCAAGGGAAGGGTGAGGAGGTCTTCGGTGCTCCTGTCTCCCCAGCAGCGCCCTGCGCACTCACCGCTGAGCCTTCGGGCTCCTGGGTAGGGGGCTGCTCTGCAGACCCACCGCAGCCGCTCTCCT